GGTCACGATCTCGCGGTCCGTGAGTTCGAGCCCCGCGTCAGGCTCTGGGCTGATGGCTCAGAGCCTGGAGCCTGTTTCCGAGTCTGTGTCTTCCTCTCTCTCTGCCCCTCCCCCGTTCATGCTCTGTCTCTCTCTGTCCCAAAAATAAATAAACGTTGAAAAAAAAAAAATTAAAAAAAAAAAAAAAAAAAAGAAAAGGGCCATATTTTTATCTAGTCTCGGTAACTGAACTGCTCCAAGATTTTCATACTTTAAATAGAAATAAACCAAGCTTTGAGAGATTCTTTTTTTGTTCCAAAGATTGTATTTCACTTACCAGTAATCATAATAAAGCTCATTTATGAAACAGATGTTAAGTTTATTACCATGGGTTGGGGGTTGGGTAGGCAATGAGACATTCAGAATCTCTTCCCTGACGATGTACTTGAAAAAGTAAGGTTTAAATAAGCCTGCTGGGGGCGCCTGGGTGGCGCAGTCGGTTAAGCGTCCGACTTCAACCAGGTCACGATCTCATGGTCCGTGAGTTCGAGCCCCGCGTCGGGCTCTGGGCTGATGGCTCAGAGCCTGGAGCCTGTTTCTGATTCTGTGTCTCCCTCTCTCTCTGCCCCTCCCCCGTTCATGCTCTGTCTCTCTCTGTCCCAAAAATAAATAAACGTTGAAAAAAAAAAAAATTTTTTTTAAATAAATAAATAAATAAATAAGCAATCCTGCTGTGTGAGAAGTGCTCCCGGAGTGCGCCAGGTGTGGAAGAGGAGAGAGGCCCTCACAAGATGCACGCAGAGAGGGCTCTGTGGGGCAAAGGATTTGAGCCAGACCCGGAAGCCCGGGCAGGACTTTAGAATGTGACCGCAGTGAGAGGGCAGTATTGCCGGGAAGGGAAAATCCACGCTCACTGGTCTGAAACAAACCAGTATTATTCTTATTTCAGGTTCAAGTTTTGAAGCTGCTTGTGAATTTATCTGAAAATCCAGCCATGGCAGAAGGACTCCTTGGTGCCCAAGTAAGTAGTTTACATATTTGTTTTGTAAGTATACAAATATATAGATTTGGCCTAGAGAGATTTATCCAACATGTTAACAGATTTTTTTAATTTGGTTCTTTTTGCCTATATATGAATTTCCCAAATTTTCTGTAATGAACATATTTTCCTTTTAAAAATCATTTTGGAAAAGTTCTCCCTGACAGTAATAAATTATAATTGTTCTGCCTGTCCATTTTGGGGTACCAGTATGTCATCACGTCTCCTATACTTGACCTACTTGTGTTCACATGTATCTTCACATCCACTGAAACACTAGTCTTCACCTACCTAGTCCCCAGGATGTGCCAGATGCCGGGCTGAGTGCCAGGACACACCAGTGGGCGCACGTGGCATGGTGCCTGTCCTCGTGGAGCTTGTGAGAAGAGACAAAAATATGTAACAAAATAAGATCACTAAAAGCTGTGATAAGTGTTCTGAAGAAAGCAAAGGCGGTACTAATAGCAAACAGGCGTCAACTCCTGTAAAGGAGGGAACCTGTGACAGTGACCTCATCCATGTGCCCCATGCTCATGCCCACAGTGTGCAGTGGGCAGCAAATGTCTGGGGAGTTGATGAGCTCCCGTGAGGAAACTTGGACCTTAAAAAGGATATGGGTGTTTTTCCAAATGACTACAATCTAGGACTCTAAGAAAACAGAATTTTTCAGCTAAAACTACGAAGCCTCTTTTTTTCCATTGGTATACAGTATAGGGGTGCATTAAGATTTTACATTTATGTTAGGTGATTTTAGGGATAATTTTCTATGACAAGATTTTTTTAAATGTATTCAGTGTAGTTTTCAAGTGGGAAAATATACATGAAAAATATTTTCAAAAATTTAAAAAATAGTCATTGTTTCCTATTTCAGGTGGATTCATCATTTCTTTCCCTTTATGACGGCCATGTGGCAAAGGAGATCCTTCTTCGGGTTCTTACGCTATTTCAGAATATAAATAACTGCTGCAAAAAAGAAGGCTGTTCAGCTATGCAGCCTACTTTCCCTAAAGGTTCACTGTTTTTCCTGTTATACGGAGAAGAATGTGCCCAGAAAATGAGAGCTTTAGTTGATCACCATGATGCAGACGTGAAGGAAAAGGTAACAGTATTACCAAAATTCTAATTGGTCCTATTTTTCATCTTCCTTACCAAGGGAGCTGAAATTCTTTTCACCTGCTGAATTTAAATGGTAATTTCCTCATTAACACATTTCAACATTAACACAACATAACTTGCCATGGTCTTCTGGTTTATTTTGAACCATTTTATTGATACCAAATGAAGAGCTTGTTCTGAAAGCATGTCTTTTTATTTTGCCGTTTGTGGAGTTTACTTCAATTATTTCCTCTACGTGACATGACAGTTTTCTTTTTTATGTGTAAGCTTACCTGCCCTTAGAAGTGATGTGCAGTTACTTGTCTGAGACCCCATTAGTGTGTGATTAATTAGTTCGTCGGGGCTGCTGCAGGAATGACCTTGTTCTCGTGGTAGAGCTCCTGAGCCTTTGAGGCCACCCCCCAGCCCAGCCATACCACATGCTTCCAGAAGTCTGTTCCCAGCATTAGAGTTTAGTCTGAGTTGGTGAAAACTCTCCCCATCCTTACCACTCCCACTCAGTACACCAGCCTGTGAAGATGCCGTGTATAATCAAATGTCCATCCACAGGCAACTGGTTAAGTCACTTACCTAATCTTAGAAGAAATAAGCAAGTCTGAATGTGCTCATGTGGAAAGGCATCCATGAAATAGGCATGTGTTTTTTAAATGAACAATTTATGCTTCCATCCAGAGAGAATATTTTCTAGAATGATAACCAAGATGGGACTGAGGAAAGGTCTTTTCTATGTTTACCCTTCAATTGTCTGAATTTTACTATGAGCATAAGTTTTATAATTTTTTAAATAAAAAGGAAGAGTTCATACACATTTTCTCTTGATAGTACTTTATTCATTAATTTTCATCCATATTTTAGAGATTTTCACATATTGTAAATTTTTATTCCATAAGCTATAACAACTTATTAATAGATTTCCATTCAGCCAGGTTTTATAATGTTCAAGTTCATAACCATCACCATGCTTAGTATTAAGTAAACCAGTATGCAAGCAGAAGTTTTCCTACTCCAGGTAGTTAAGGCAAAGCCGTACGAGTACTTTAAGTTCATTCGTAAATATGTGGATTTCCATAGGAAGTCACAGATCCTCAAACAGAAAAATGTGTATTTTCAGGCTTATCCCAATATAGAAATCAAACTTGGAAGAATTACTTTTAGAGTAGAAAAAGGATTCAGTATTAAGGTGAAAACATGGAAGTTCCCAGGTGGCTATAGCAGTAACGTGTATATGCTAAGAACACTACTTAGGTTTGCATCACTGATGAATAAAAGTACTAATTCCCTGAAAGGCACATTTCTTTATAACGAATTTTTTAAAAATCTGCCTTCGTTAGTGAAAATCAAAGTGTGCACATGATAAAAACTAGGATTTGGCTTTAATGTGCTTTGGCAGCACTGGATTCTAAAACCCCGCATCTTCTTTCCTCTTTTTAGTTTGAATAGATCATCCCATTTCCTGGAGATCAGAGCATTAGGTCTGAAATGTGAAAATACACAAACGGATCTAGGTTGGTGCAGATCATGGCATATCTTGGCTTTTCTCAGGATTGCCCCCCACTGGGCGATCCCACCCTCCAGGCAGGGAGGAACATCAAGGGGTTCCCCAGGAGAAGGAATCCTCAATCAAATCTCACATGTTCGAATGGGTGCCAAAGAGCAAAATAAAACTGATCAAGATCGAGTAAAAGGTATTACCGCAGAGGTTAGAATGAATAGAGGCTAAAGAGTGCATCTGGCTTTTCAAAATTTGGTTTTGTTTTGAATTTTTTTTTTTTTCAACGTTTATTTATTTTTGGGACAGAGAGAGACAGAGCATGAACGGGGGAGGGGCAGAGAGAGAGGGAGACACAGAATCGGAAACAGGCTCCAGGCTCCGAGCCATCAGCCCAGAGCCCGACGCGGGGCTCAAACTCACGGACCGCGAGATCGTGACCTGGCTGAAGTCGGACGCTTAACCGACTGCGCCACCCAGGCGCCCCTTGGTTTTGTTTTGTACATAAACGTACAAATGTAGCTAAGTGAGACAATGGAAATCAATAGAACGAGACTGTACAAGGAGACCTGAAGCTCGATGTACTTAACAAAATGTCAACACAGAAAGAATGTGAATGGTAATAAAAATTAAAGCTTGTGAGGAGGCAGGCCTAATTCAGTGGAACTAGAACATAATTTAAAGTGCTCAGAGCCCCGCAGTTACACAGTGCATATGAATACAGAAATGATGTTAAGGCCATTCATGGAGCAAATTAAGATGAGCTTGGTCTGCTTCAGAGAGCAGAGGCAAGAGATGCGCGTTGAATGCAGCGTGCAACAGAAGGAGGGCGACTGCGTGAACACAGCCAGTGTCAGGGCACCAGGCCCCAAAACTAATCCACCATCAACCTAACTTCTCCATTCCCATCTGCTTGCTAGAATGTTCCTTCGGAGTGAAAGGTTTATGGTGGTTTAGTTTTTGTTTTCCTGAAGGTTATCTTACGGGGAAATTTTTTGTGCTTTAGTGCCTCCAAATCACATACATTCACACACATTATATACACATTTCCCCCTGACAGATTTGCATCTTTGTAAGATAAAAAATGCTAAATTTTGAGGAAGATCATTTACATTTATTTTGGCTATTACTCCCCAAATTTACAAAATGAGCTGAAGTTGTTAATCCTCACTGTTTCATGTCCTAGGTACAGACGCTTGAATCTGCAATGGGAATGATACGCGACCAAAAGCATGAGCCTAGTTTTAGCTTTCAGATCTCTAGTAGGCAGTGAGGTCTTAAGAAATAATTTTCTCCCTTATATTTTCAAAGTGCTTTTTAAAATATCACTATTCACATTTTTTTGGAGGTAGGTCAAAATTATCCTCTTGTTGCACATGAGGAAACTGAGGCACAGTGAGTGTAGGTGACTTGTGGCAGGATACACAGAAAACCGTAGTGGAAGCAGGATTAAAATTCCAATTAAGTAGCTAACAGGTGGCATGCATAGATGTGTACGTGAAAATAAATAGAATAGTGCCCGTGTAGCATATGCTGTAAAAACCTACTTTGATTATTCTGCAAATGAAATTTATTTCACTGAGACTGGGGAGCAGGAAGATGGGATGGGCCTCTAATGTACCTCATTGGCTCTGAGGAATGTTCAGAGCAATCAAGCAATCCCAGGGCCCTTACGGGACTAAACTCAGGTCACCTAATTCCTAGAATTACTTTTAAACTGCTAGTATTCCGTGCTAGCTTAGTAAAAGCAGAATTGTGCGTATGGGTCATTTAATATAAAAATATAAGACCTCTGAATCATGTAAAACATAAATTATTTATAAATCTTATTGATACATCGAGGGTTGGAGCTACGAACCCCCCCGGGGGGGGGGGATGAGTAGGTGGAGAGAAAAGAGAATATAGAAGGAATTGTTAACATTTTAAGATCTGCATTTATCTTTGTAAAATACTATTTCCTTTCAGTGATCTTTGTGTTCAGGTCTGACTTGTAGATTAAAAATAGAAAATGTCATCAATCATGTCCTCATAACCACACTCTCCCTTCCTCTGCCCAACTCAGGCAGCTTCTGATTTGGGGACTGGGGATGTGCAACAAAATATATCATTCCTCTTTGAAACAATGATGTCTTTAAAAACGGTAACTTAGCCCAATCTCCTGTGGTTTTATACTTAAAAAAATAAATCATTCAACATTTGGCATATAAGCTAATGTGGACAGAACAACAAGAAATGCTGTAAGCAGGTAGGTGTCCATTCCATCACTTACTCTAATGTGAATTAAGAAGTTTAGATGTGCAGACTCAAACCATCTAGGTAGACAGATTTAACCTGTAGAAGGCCCTTCACCAGAAGGACAGAAAGAAGACTTTAAAATCAGTTTTCCTAACTTCCAAATTCTACCACTAAAGCATAATCCTTTAAAAAAAATTCCATTTCAGTGCTTCTACCATTGAGACAGGATTCAAATTCCCCTCTGCCAATTCAGTATTTAAATGACCCACCTCTGAACTCTTCTTTATATGAACTGGCATTTGGAGTAGCAAGCAAGCTGTCACACAAAACATACAACACAAACTTATAGAAGTGGTTTACAAATGTAAAACATCCTAATATTCATGAATTTCTTAGTCTTTCCTAGAAGCTTAGAGGATACCTTTTTCACTAAAAGCTCACATGCTCACATTCATTCAGAGTTTTCATCGTCAGTATGGAGGTATCTGGATTCTCCATGCTTCAAGACAAAAAAATCTTCAGTCTTAAGTCCGTATCTTCCTAGAGCCTCACTCAGTTTCACTGGGGGCTCTAAGTAATGCTGGCAGAGGGCACACAGAAAACAATGGAAAAGGATTAACCTTGCAAATATTGGGGGGTTATTTCAAATGAGAGTTGAAACTAAAATAACATATGCCTACTTAAAATAATGTCTTTTCATTCAAGCATTAGCAAAATGAGCCAATCACATTTTCTAATATAGTCATTAACAGAAATATATTATCTGTCCAGATACCATGAGTGTCAAATTTGGTGCCAACTTAGATTGAACATCACTAGATTGCATGAAACCTGATGACCCTTTCACTACATGAAATTCCAGTCTAAATGGAATCAATGCCAAAGATAGGATTACAGAATTAGATATTACCAACATTTTTTAAGAATATGGAGGTTTAGGGGGGCGCCTGGGTGGCGCAGTCGGTTGGCGTCCGACTTCAGCCAGGTCACGATCTCGCGGTCCGTGAGTTCGAGCCCCGCGTCGGGCTCTGGGCTGATGGCTCAGAGCCTGGAGCCTGTTTCCGATTCTGTGTCTCCCTCTCTCTCTGCCCCTCCCCCGTTCATGCTCTGTCTCTCTCTGTCCCAAAAATAAATAAAAACGTTGAAAAAAAATTAAAAAAAAAAAAGAATATGGAAGTTTAGGGAGCACCTGGGTGGCTCAGTTGGTTAAGCGTCCAACTAGCTGAGATCATAATCTCAGTCTGTGACTCTGAGCCCCACGCCAGGGTCTGTGCTGACAGCTCCGATCCTGGAGCCTGCTTCAGATTCTGTGTCTCCCTCTCTGCCCCTCCTCTGCTCACACTTGCTCACGCTCTCAAAAATAACATTAAAAAAAGGTTTTTTTAATAAAGAATATGGAAGCTTAGGTTTAAGAGTGTAAGCAAATGCTGGAGAAAGATTTTTGGCTCCTAGAAGGTTGTCACCCTCAAATCCCTAGGCAAATATCGACACTGTAGTCTACAGAGTATAAGAGGGACCCAGAGAACAAAATCTGGTAGCATTTCCCCCATTTCCCCTTGTTTCCTATTTTTTTCCTTTATTCAAAGATTCTTTTTTTTCTCAATTTCAATTAGAAAACCTGTGGGGCACTTGGATGGCTCAGTCAGTTAAGCATCTGACTTGATTTCAGCTCAGGTCATGATCTCAGGGTTTGTGGGATTGAGCCCCGAGTCAGGCTCTGCACTGACAGCGTTGAGTCTGGTTAGGACTCTCTCTCTCCCCCTCTGTCCCTTCCATGCTGGCTCACTCTCTCAATAAAACAAAACAAAACAAAACAAAACAAAAAACCCTTCTAAGTGGCTCATGCTAGCACTTTAGTCCCACAAGGGAGGTAAAAATGCCCCACAGCCATACAACAACTATGAATCAAGCAAGACAGCAGATCAGAGGTAAGAGTTAAGTGGTGTAAGAAGCACCCAACACTCTGATTCCATTAAGGGCTAGGCAACCAGCTGAGACAACTCTAATTCCCTTTTAAAGGGTCACTGTTTTATGATCTCCAATAGGTTAAAAGGTAGCATATCTTATGTAATGCCTGAAATGTTTCCACCAAAACGAGTGCGTTAAGTTTTAGTACTTACATAACATCATGCAGGAAATTGACTCATAATTCCCTAGATAATTAGATGTTGCTATATGTACACAATTTTTTTAAGTGTTGCCAGGTTAAGGACATCCCTTGGTCAGCTTATAGTAAGCAGCTATTATAACTACTTTTATGCAAATCATTTTAAAGTGTTTACTCATAGGGTAAACATCCAAAAATTCTGTGGTCTTTGTAATTTAACAAATTCATAGTTGTCAGGTTTATGCAACTCATGTCAGAATGTGAACACATTCTAAATTGCTAGGACTTTATGGAGTTGTAGGTTTCATTAAGAAATAAAGATGGAGGTTAGATTTATAACAGGAATGATTCTTGAAAGCTGAATAACTAATGAAGTCTGAGGTTTTCTACCTTTTCCTTATCTTCCCCATCTCAGTAAAGAGCATGAGCATCTTCCCCGTTAAGTTAAAAACCTAGGGAGTCATCCGTGATTCCTCTTTTTGAATGGGTTTGAAAAAATACTATTACTTCATCTAAGGCTCTGTGTATGTCATATATGGAATACATATCTATGGGTATGGAATGAACATACACAGTTATATACACATAGAATAAGAAATTGCCACCGAATAGTATGGTATGCCACTGGGAAGCAGTATCCAATTTCCTTTTCAAATACACACACATACTCCTGTTCCCCTTCATCCTCCCCTGGCCCTGTGGTCATTCATTTGTTTGCTCCATTCCATCTCCCCCTAGCGTGGCTCGGGGTTGCTGCATCATGGGACGGGAATCCTAACTGGGGGCAGTAGGGGTGGGCAGGCAGTGTAACTACAGAAAAAGATACAACTTAGGGAGACGGCAGGCCAGAAATCAGGCAGAGGGAGTGCCTAGAACAGCCTGAAATCACAGGGTTCCTGCAGAGAGGCCCTGGGATGTGGAAGAGGCCACACAAAGCAAAGTAGGAGAAGCCAAGTTCAACTTTTTTTTTCTTTTGAGAGAGAAAGAGTGTTTGCGAGCGGGGAAGAAAGGCAGGGTGGGGGGAGATGGGAGAGAGAATCCTAAGCAGCCTCCACACAGCACAGAGCCCAACGTGGGGCTCAATCTCACAACCCTGGGATCATGACCTGAGCCGAAATCAAGAGTTGGATGCTTAATCGACTGAGCTAACCAGGTGCCCCTTGCCCATCCACTTCTAAATTTTTACTTAGGACAGGTCCCAGATCCAAGAAAAGAGAAAACATTTTTTGCTGAGGAAAAAAATCAGTCAGGAATAAAGCCACCATTTATCCATTGCCTGGCACAGAGCAGACACTCACTGTTTACTGGATGAATAACATTCCTGAAAATTCCAGGCTGTCCAGCCTCACTTCCCCCGTTGTCCTCCACATCACATCCATACACTCACTGTTCCCCTCACTTGCTGCCTCTAAGTCTATGCTCTGCCCCTTAGTCCTCTTGAAATGCCTTCTCACAGCCACATTCAGATGTCACCTCTCCCATAAAGCCCTCCCTGATCCCTCCAAATCAAACATGTGACTCTTGAGAGCACTTTATTTCACCATGAAGCAGTCAGTCCTTTCAACACATTTTAGAGTTATGTACACAGCTTACATCTTCTGCTGTAACAAAAGCCACCTTGAGAGGGAAGACATGGTTCATTTTTCTGTTTTCCAAGATTATACCTGTTTTAGTTATATAAACCCATGCTTCCAAAAGAACAGCGTGTAATGAGGTTGTTGGTTTTTTTTTTTTTTCACTGTATATAAATACGGTTTTACTAATGTGGTTTATTCCCTTAATTCATTTGAGGACTGTGCAGGTTCTCATTCTTGTCTGATCTCTGAACACACTGCAAGGTGTGCTGATCCCAGGATCCTCTCAGGTCAAACACATAACGAAAGTTACTTTTATCACAAACTCACCTCATTTGCTAAGGCAAAAGTTCCCCAGTGAATTGCCACAGATTTCTTTGTCTGAACATCGATGTGAATCCTTACAGCTTCTTCTGGGTCTATATGCTGGTATTTCATAAACCACCTGATAAAACAGCAATTTATTAATTCTGGCCTTTGAAATGTGCACTAAGTTATAATTACTGCTTCATCTAATCAACCTTTAAGGTTATGCACAGGAGTAAGACATTAGGCAAAAACATCTGTTTTGAGCCCACTTTCCTGCTGGAAAAAAAGCAAAAATCTTACTTGCACAAACCTAGTGACGCCACAGCTAAGTCTCAAGCAAAACTCCCCTTTGAAACGTAAGATGTTGTTTCATGTGTATTTGATTTTACTGATGATTTATTCTAAAGGTAGGTCTTAATCATTAAAAAGGTATTTTGCAATCTTGATATGAATCAAAGAAACTGGATAATGGATAAATGACTAGAAACCAAAAGTGCAATTCAAAAGAACCTAAATTGCTGAAACCGTTTTTAATACATGAAGCAAAAAGCAAAAATTAGGGCATAAAATTGAAAAACTGGGAGCAAAAAATACCCAATTACCATTCAAGGATTTTATTTGAGCATCCTACAGCTGAACAGTGAGGCGTAGGATTGAGCAAGCACAGGGTACACCCTGGGGACTGAACAAAGAGAGTGTGGAAACAGTGTAAGGCTGCCGAATGCCTGTGAAAGAGTGGGGCTCAGGAGGCAGTGGCCTGCACGGTGACCCCTCCCAGCTCGACCAGCTGCTGGGAATGTGGATCTCAGCTCTGCTACTGCCAGCTCTGCTGCAGTTAAGACTCATGGACATGGATTTGACACAGGTGCTTCTGGATTTTAGACAACACAGCATGGAAAAGCTATCCATCTCCAACAGCTAAAGGGCTGTTATTTACTGTTAGGAGCTGCTGGGCCTCCTGGGAGCCTAGGAACAAAGCCACTGTGTTCTCCTCAACAGCAGACTAGAGAAGTACTATTCTGCCCTATTTCCTGACACTCGGAATTCGGGGCAGGATCAAAACAGTTTTTGGTGTTTCTGTTGGATTTTTTTTTTTAATTCCTACAACAAATCAAAGGAATTTGCTTTCCACCTTCATGTCTACCTGAAATAAATGTAAAGTTTTTATTTTGGTGTAAAAGTTACAATAAAAACATCCTGGGCACCTGGCTGGCTCAGCATGCAATTCTTCACATCAGGGTCATGAGTTCAAGCCCCACATTGGGTGCAGAGCTTACATTAAAAAAATAAAAAAAAAACGGGGTGGTGGTGTGCCTGGCTGGCTTAGTGAGTTAGGCATCTGACTCTTGAATCAGCTCAGGTCGTGATCTCAGAGTCGTGAATTCAAGCCCTGCATTGGACTCTCCGCTGGGTGTGAAGCCTACTTGAAAGCAAAACGAAACAAAACACACAAAACTTCCTAACCGACCTGGATGGAATACATAGACCATACTATAATGTAAGTATGAACGTTACAGGTCTACTACTGAAAGCCATTTTGGTGTAATCATTTCACATTTAGAGAGTACTCTGAAGTTGTTGGTAACCTTATTTCTAAACCTGTCAGTACTGACCAGAGCAATGGATTACACAGTAGAGGCTACCACACTTTAATTTTCTTAGAGCAAATTCTGCCCTCCTGGCTTTCACCCATCTTAAGACAGCTACAGTGCAGCAGGAAGAGGGAATTCTGTGAGTGAATTTGTGTAGTTAATCCGTACACATTCTACCATCCCATATATATGATCTTTATAGACTGTGACACAGGAAGAGTTTTCATAATTACAAATGAGATATTCTAATACAGTAGGAACATATACTGAGGAAAGATCAATACTATATGAAATTGGTTTGAAAACAGGATGTTTTGAGATTTCATTAGAATTATAGTGGAAAAATGTAGTTCAAGCACTACTACAGATTCATAATATTTTAAAATAAGGTAAAAGTGTCCAGCCTTTTAAACTAGAAAAAAAGGGAGAAAGAAGCAAGCATTCATAAAGATAGTGAAGAAATGGTTTTTAGTGAATCTTAAAAGCTAAATACATGTAACAAAATCAGATGGAAACTAATCATCGGATTTGCTCAATTCATTTTTGAACTAGTGTTTTACTGCTTGTAGGATTGCTGAAATAAAATGCCATCATACATACAATTCTGTATCTGTGCATGTACTTTAGTGTTTAACTTGTTCTTGTCACCCAGTTAGCTGAAATCTAACTGAATTCTTTGAAGTCGCTTCTCTTTTCCTTAGACAAGATGAAATAGAACACAGGCAGGGCTGGGTCTCCTCAGTCTCCAGTGCAAGTGTGACCTTTAAATTGCTCTGACTGTGGGCGAGGGGCATGCCGTGGGGTCACTGCCACATTAACTTCAGTACAGACTGAAGTAACACCATTGCAAGGGACTGATTGCTAGCTTTCCTCACCTTTTCTCTGCCAAACACAGGAGGGCTACAGGCTGGGGACAGGTGCACACCAGATGTGAAGTGAAAGGTAGTTATGTAGCATGTCCTCCATGTGAAGAACGTGAGCTAGGTTTGATTACTGGCTGGTAGGTTCAACTTAAGTCAGAACTGAATGCCAACTTGTAGCTAGGTTATGGCGATTCTTTAAACCTTGGTCCATCTTTCTGTGTGATATAATTTCTGATTCTGAGTAATTACTTAATGGTATGATTGAAACGCTTTCAAAAGAAATTTAATTGAATCTGACCCACCACCCCCCAATAATAGCCACCACCACCAAAAGTCCACCAGCAAAATCAGAAAGGAGATCACAAATGACCACAAACTCAACTACTTCATAGTTGAGGCCACTTATTACATAGCAGGGCTGCCATCCTGGGAAGTGTACATACCTTGGTTCATACGCTCCGATGGGAATAGCTGCAAGGTCAAAAGGTCCAAACCTTTTTCCTATCTCTTCAAAGGCAGGGCAATAGCCAGTGTCTCCTGCAAAAAAAAATCGGCTCCAAGGCCCCAAGACAGACCAGCTGCCCCACAGAACCTTGTTGTCATCCACGAGAGTCCTTTTGCACCAGTGCTGGGAAGGCGTAAAGACAAAGGTGACCTTATCGTGTCCGGGGACACAATTCTCCTCCCACCAGTCCAGCTCGATCACATTCTCACAGCCACACTTCTGCATCCAGTCGAGGAGACCCAAAGGCACAAACCATCGCAACTCCTGACCAAATCGTTCATTCAGAGCGATGACAGAATTGTAGTCCAGGTGGTCATAGTGGTTGTGACTGATAAGGACAGCATCTATCGGGGGGAGTTCACCTATGGTGCACGGGGGACGACGGAACCGCTTCGGACCCATGTGCTGCGATGGTGACGCACGGGAGCTAAAGACGGGGTCTGTGAGAAATATGAGCTCGTCCATTTCCACCATGACTGTCGCATGTCCCAGCCATGTGACTCTGAGGCCAGCTTCCCGCACCCCAGCTTCTTCGGGGTCATTGATAAAATACGGCCTCAGCACTGGAAGCTCTTTATCAAGTTCCTATGCACAGAAAGAAAGGGAGAAAAGCAGCTGTTAGTGGGGGGGATAAAAGGTATCACAACATATTTGGACTCTGATTACAGAGAGAAAGGCTATTTGGGGAGAAATGACCTCATTCAATAAATTTGCTATTTTTGCCTTTTGCATGAAAATGCATACCTCTTTCCAAATCTGACTCAGTAATCATGACAGTATCAGGTCGTCTTAGTCCCAGATGCAGTACACAAAGGGAAAATTAAATGTGCAACTTCAAGCATTGCTGAATTTATTTAAAATTTTAGAAGCTCTCTTCTGTAAGTACTGGGAGCAAAACTGTAGCCTAGCTGCAGTCACTCTGCCCCTTTACTTGGCTGGTGCATTTGCTGCTAAAAATGGTGTCAGAAACAGGTGGGCGGGCTCCTGGACAGAGTAAAGAAAACTTACAGCCATTTATTGGTAGACCTTGTATCTCAGATATGAATCTGAGCACACAGAACTCGAAGCAGAGCACTGAGCAAACCCCAGTCACGGACGGCTCTCCTCATTCCTCACCCGTAAGGTTTTCTCCTTCGGATCAAACCAAAGCAGAACATGGTCCCTGCCTATGAGAAGGTGACTGCTTTGGGGGGCAAATAGATGTAAAACAGTAACCAGAACAAAACAGAAGCATTACTTCTTTGGTTATTCTCCATTTTATCCTTACAGAAGCTCTGTTGTAGGGTCACAGTCCTGGCTTTTATAAAACTGTTTTCTAAGTTGTGCTTTAGTATTATGCTCTACTGCTGTATCAAGGTCATTTACAGGAAGACGCCTCATGAACCTGGCCGTGTATGTACTGGAGAGAGGTCTAAATTTAAGACTCAGTAGATCTCCAACCTCCTTCCCCACCTTCTCACTCACCCCAGAAACATTTCTCTCAATCCTCAGTATCAGGAGAAGCTCTTCACCAGAGCAACTGGCCTTATTCATCTGGCCACTGGGAAAACTCGTAACAGTTCATGCTTCCCTCTTTGCACCAGGAAGTTGGGAAAAAGCTACTTCCAACATTGTGCAGGGGATGACAGCACATGTTTCTATACTAACTTTATACTTGGCTTTATTTCTCTACCCTAAGAGTTCTTTTGCTCTTCTCTGTTCATCTGTTTTTTACCGCTACGTGGATTTTTGTAAGTTGCAGCAAATCAGTTTTAACAAGTCTGGTATTGGATAATTATGTAAAATACAAGACACACTACAGCCCAATAAAAAGGAATAAAGAGTCCAGTCGCCTAAGGCGACACAGTAATCTGTGTGAGTTTCCTGACCAATTGACAAGAAGTTCATGATGCAGAGAAAAGGAAGGAGGTCATTTTAGGTGGAGAAAATGCCCAAGCAAAGGCAAAGAGCCAAACAGGAACAAAAGTGGCATTTGGGGACAGGCGACAATCTATGAAGGATGAGAACACAATAAAAGCCTTGAATGCCAGAGACAGGAAGCATCTTAAAAAAAAAAAAAAAAAGGATTTGTCCCAATTTATGTTTAGAGAAAACATTCTGGAATGCAAATGACGACCTGGAGTGTGGTCACAACAGCTGCCATGACAGATGAAGACTGAACAAAGGGGACCGCAGGGAGGTGGAGGCAAGAGAGGGAATGGGGGGAGATGCCAGGAAAGGAAAGCTGAGGTCACAGAGACGGTCTGAATGGGAAAAGGGTCCCGACAGGGGAAGAGAAGGAGCAGCAGAGGTGGAGGGCAATGCAAACACCCTCTAAGCCACCCTAACCCTTAGTTTCCCCATCTGAAAAAGGAGTATAATTGTACCTACACTTCATTGTGGTGGGGACCAACCACATCAGGAGCAGCTGGCACACCGTAAACACTCTGCAAGTATTCCGGAAGGGGAAAGAAACCACAACCTGGACAAACAATCAGGCACCAACTCTGTATTTTTTACCCATTTCCTTGATCACTAAACTGTCTTACTGTCAAACTCAATCCATACACCAGAGCCACCTCAAAAATAGTCTACTTACCATACAACTGTGTCCCTCTACTGACTGACAAAACACAACTCCCCTCCTCGGCCCAGGAGGAAGCCTCTGGTGGATTCCCCCAGTCTTCCTCTCCAGCTGTGTCTCACCCAACTCCTGCAGGGCTGTGTCCCACCGACACTGGGACTGATTCCTGCTCCCAGATAGAGCTCAGGAGCCCTGCACAATACTCAACCCATTTCTCAGGTTAAAATGCCTTCCCTCTGATACCTTTGAGACTTTTAACTACATACCCTTCACGGGGCCAACACCAAGTCTCCACAGACTGGGACAATCACTCCAGCCACTCAACTTCCACCCCACTCTGTTCATGCACCATCCATGGATATTCTGCCCAAACCCTGGATGGGCGTATACAGGACGTATCTCACGTCTTACTCAACTTGGAACCATCCACGGGGCGCAATGCACAGTGCAGGGACAAACACATCATGTGCTCGACAAAATCTGTTGGATGAATGAGTGGAAATTTTTCAGATCTGTTCTCAAAGTTGGTAGGAGTTAGGGCTACTGAACAATAACAAATGTCATGTGGTATACTTATCAACGAGGGAAAAGGGAGAGAATTAATATAAACTGAGTACCTACCGTGTATTAGGCGTCACACTAGGCACATAGTAGTGATGGTGATGAATCATCCAATATGTCAAGTACTTTAGTATAACACAAAATAACACTAACAAGAACTACCATTTATGGAGTGTTAGTCACCATACTAACTACTTCATTAAAAATGTTTAATTTAGGACCAACCATAAAACTGCAGGTAGCTCCTGTTAACTAATGCTACTTTACAGAGGAGAAAACAAATAGTGATGACAGTCACACAAGGTCAGCCCGCTGGCCTCCACACATACTATCTCCCACCACGGGACTCCTAAGTCAGTCCTAATTTTCTCATTTAATACATTAAAAAAAAAAAAAAAAAAAAAAAAAAGCCACAAGTACCAGCCCAGGGATAAGAGATGGATTACTAGGGATACAAGGCAACTATTGGAGATGACAGGATGTACATCATCCTGTGATCTTTTCATGAATATATAAACAAGTCAAAACTCATTCATTGCATTTTTTCAATATGTGGAATTTGAATTGTTATTAAAACCATTTAAAAAATCTTAAGCAGCATCATGTTTAAATAGTGCATCAAAATATCTGTAATAAAATTCCCTGAGAACAGCTGCACCTCTTTTTTGCTCTAAATTTTTTTTTTATTAATTAAAAAAAAATTTTTTTATGCTTATTTTTGGAGAGCGAGTGTGCGTGCAAGCAGGGGAGGGGCAGAGAGAGAGGGAGACATACAATCCAGAGCAAGCTCCAGGCTCTGAGCTGTCAGCACAGAGCCCGATATGTGGGCTCAAACTCCCGAACCACAAGATCATGACCTGAGCCGAAGTTGAATGCCTAACCAACTGAGCCACTCAGGCGTCCCTTTGCTCTAAGTTTTAAAAGCCACGGTATCTTCTGACTAAACCTTTAGCAGAGCACCTCTGGCCGCCTCACCTTGCTCTCCAAACAGAAGATTAACAGGTAAAGTGCTGAAAGAAGCCAGTCACCAAAGACTACAGACTGTATGATCCTATTTATATGAAATGTCCACAAGAGGCAAGTCCGTAGAGACAGAAGATAGATGCGTGATTTCCACGGGATGCAGGAGGGTAAGAGAACTAGGAGCTGCTGAGTAAGGACATGAAGTTTCTTTTTGGGGTAATGAAAATGTATTAAATGTGGGAATGGTTGCACAACTCGGAGTGTACTGAAAACCACTGAACTGTACATTTAAAACAGGTCAGCTGTAGAGTATGTGAATTATAGCTCACCTAAGCTGTTTTTTTTTTTAAAGCAAAGTACTGACAAGACATCTGAATTAAGCAATCACACCATGTTTCTGCATGCCATATGGTTTCTCAGCCCATCACAAAAGAGCACCTTAAAGAATCTGATCTCTAACACTATGTCCCATAATAATCAGTCAACAACTGAGATTCAAAAAAAAGAAATAATAACTTTGTCCTAATGAGAGTTGGTGTTTTTACAATTTTTTTTAAGCAGGCTCCATGTCCAACATGGGGCTTGAACTCATGACCCTGAGATCAAGAGTCACATGTTCTACCGCCTGGCGTGAGCCAGCCAGGCACCCCCTGATAATCAGAGTTTGAAAAAGCAGTTAGAGGAGCACTTGGTTGGCTCAGTTGGTAGGGCATGTGAATACTGATTTCAGGGTTTTAAGTTTGAGCCACATGTTGGGTATAGAGATTATTATTATTTAAGATTTTATTAAAGTTAAAAAAAAAAGCACATAGATGGGGGTAGGGAAATTCTTATTTGAAGAAACCAAGCACTCGCTTGGCATTTTCTTTACTAGGTTAGGACTTTCTTGGCTGGCCTTGCTTTTTAAAGCTGCAACTGGGAAAATCCCTAGGCCCATAATTAACCAGGATACTAGTTAATATTTACTTTTCTTTGGGAAAGGGAAAAATCCTAACATTCATTCAACCACTATTCTTTGCCAGATGCCATAGGTGGGTTCTGTCATCTAACTCTAATGAAGGAGATGTCACTGCCATTTTACAGATACCCAGACGGAGGGGGAGGGGTCACTAAGAAGGTGGCCCAGGGCACACAGCAAGCGCATGCACGCTCACTCAGGAGTGGAACTGAGATCTTCCTGGCTCTAAAGATGCTACCTTTTCATTAAACCATAGCTTTCTCCATGGCATAACTTTTACTTATTAACTTCAAAACAATGAAACCCATATTCTTAATAATATAATTATTTTAAGAATATGTGTGAGCATGAGAGATCTGATGCAAATCTGCTAAAATGTTTTTAAAAATAATTATGTTTAAAGAATTTAGTTAAACCTTTTCTTCCGACTGAAAGTATCTTTTTACTGAGGAAATTCACAGTTTTGCTTTGCAACTCTGATTTAAATAAAAACTATTTTTCTTTTTCACATTTATTTTGCCGATATTATGTTAACACGGA